ATGTGGAGCAGTCACGCGTGGGTGCGTGCAGGTGGGCAGTGAAAGCCAAACCCATCACTGTCCTGGAGTCAGTCATGGGCAGGGTCTTGCTGGCTCAGGGTAGTCCTCCTTAAGTGAGGGAGTTTTGATTCCTAACTGGGATGCTTTGCCCTCGGGGTCTCCCATCTGAGCCCAGAGACAAGCTGGAAAGAAGATCCCAGTTAAAAAGTTTGAGGTCAAAATGGAGGCAGCCGAACTCCTCTCTCACCAGCCCTGACTTGCTTCGCCCTGCCTGTGGGTGGGTTTCCCAAGATGGATGGAGCAGGTCAGGGCAGAGGTCGGAGTCTTTGCCTTTGATTGCATTAGTTCTCTGTGGGGAAGTCAGGGGTGTGATCCTTCAACCTCCTGGCCCACATTTTTCTTTTTAGGCACTTGGGTAGCAGTAATCTGCCATAATCCCTAGGAACATCCCTACTAAATTGGATGCCTCAAAATCAGGCTCAGTTTGCTTCTCTCTTTAAAACAATGTTTTCCTCAGTAGGTCATAGATGGAGGTGAGGAGTTAGATCCCCGTTTCCTAGCAAGGACCCAATTCATTTTCTGTTTCTGATTGTGAAAATAATCATTAATTACAATTTCCCATTAGCAGCAGCCTCGTGATCTCATAAGTATGCACTGACCGCCTTTCACTGCCTGCAAGTCTCCAAATTGGCCACGTCTGAGAGTGAGCTACAATTTACAATTCTGAGCACTACCCCAGTGTTTTGCGAAAAGGTCAGATTCCCAAATCTCCTAGGTCTTTTATCTATCCCATCCCCCTGCAAAAACCCAGCACCAAGATTTGTCCCTGGTCTCCCACTCCCTCTCCACCCCTCCAAACCTAACAATAATCCATCATTGTTATCTCATTTGGTGTTTACAAAGCACTTTACAGCCATTGTTGTGAGTTTTTCCTCTTATTTGCAAAGTACTTTACAACTATTATTACAAGTCTTTTCTCCAGTGTGGGGTAATGCTGACCCACTTCCGAGAGTGTTGGATTCCCACTGCCTTCTAAGTGGTTGGACCAATTCCTGTGATGCCCAGCACTGGATAGGTGTGGCTTTTCGTAAGGTCATAGCTGTGCCCTTAGAAATCAGGCTTAGAAACTGGCTTCAGGCCACTGCTCACTTGCCCTTTGGGAAGTTCCACCCAGTGCATTTCTAATGAAGGAATAAGAGATGATTGTTACCAGGGTTCACACTACCAGATGTTTGTGCTGGTGTGGGGTTCACTGCCTATCACCTCCCACTTCTGGCAGAGTGGCTGCTAAGCAGCAGGGTTTGAACTTCGTTCTCTCTTCAATCCAAGGTAGGGGTGTGTGTATGTGTAAGAGAGAGAGATACAAAAGAATAAAATAATCCCCCCATAGTAGACTGGGAGCTACTTAAGGTGATCAAAAGTCTTTTTGCTTTTGTTTTAAATTTTTATCAGATTTTTAAAAATAGGTAACCATGACATTCCAGAATGGCATTTTTAAGAAGAGAAAAAAAAAAGTTTACATTGTAATAACTAGCCTAACAAAAACTCCTTCCTGGTGGCCTTAGCTGTCAAAAGACTGGATATGGCATTTTATGTGTTGCATTTTTCATTTAACATGAGGGGTAAACATTTTCTTTGATTGTTAACAGTGTCTTTGTAATAATCTTTCAAACTTTTATAACATTTTATTGAGTATAACATTTGAGTAGGTAGGAAGGCAAGACATTCTGGTAGAAAACATGGAAACCTTGGTAGATTTGGAGTTTCAGTGGACTGCAGAGAGACTTGGTACATCATCTGACAGGACGCCTTTAGGAGGCATGGCTTTGACTTCCTATGTAGTTTTTTTCTTTGGCTACTGTTAACAACTGACCCTTCAATCTGGGTCTGACTTCTGCACTTCGCACCCTAGATGAGAAGTATCTGCCATCCAAACCCCAATTTGGTTAAGGTATGTTCTGAAAATGAGTTGAATAGTATTGTTACTCATTATTGATATTTGACTCAATTTGCCCAACTAGGTTATCGGCCTTCTGAGAATAAGGTTCCCTCTTAGCTTCTGGGACATCTATCAGAATGCTTAAATAGCAGATGCTCAGTAAATATTTGTTGGTGACAAATACTTACTTGCCAACCTCCAGTGCCTTTCCCTGGCCAGTAAAATAATTGTCTTGAATGTGTAACCTATTCTGTGAGGCAAGTGTGAAGGACATTCTAAGGCAAACCTTTGTGTTGGGGTCTCAGTAAGGCCAGGATGACTCCTTCAATAAGATTCTGCTCCTGCATATAAAATGGTATGAAGAGAAGGGGGGATCTCCCCTTCAAAAGAGAGGAACAACTTATAAGATTTTTGTCTGTGGAGGCTTCTTTAGATAAACCAGAATACAGGAAAGAGGCCGTTTTGCCTGTCTTTAAAAGGTGAGAGTGTGAGAGCTACATCCTGGAATATTTATGAATGAAATGGTAAGATGTCTGGGATTTTCTTCAGTTATACAAGACAGAAGAAAGGTGGAGAGATACACGGACAAGGCGGGCCACAATTTGTTGGAAGCTGGAGTGTGCTTCCACTTTTGAGTGTGTTTAAATATTTCAATAATAATAATAACAACAACAACAATAAGAATTAGAATTAGAATTAGATTAGAATAAGAGGTTTAGGTTTGGACTGGGAACATGATCTGAAACAGTCCTCCATCCCCAAGCATGATTTAGGCTAGAATACTGTCTTGGTTAAAATTTGAGGCTGTAGTGCCATCTAGTGTTTACTGCCAACACCCAACCGAAGGACAATATGCTGGAAGGTCCTTCCGTGAACTCCCCTGGCCTCTGGGGAACACCTTAGCAAAGGGACCAGGGTTGAGTGGCCCAAACCAAAGGCAGCATCTGCCAGTTTGGAGGTGGAGGTGGCTCTGATGGTGGTGAGGGTGGCATGTGGGCTCATTCCTTGCCTCCCCCAGGCGCAGGGACGCAAACTGGAATGGGAGTTGTCATTTTGTATGCAGCTCTGAAAGCCGGTGACCTTGCCAGAGGGTTCTCAGCGTGACCCAGGTGCAAAAATAGCCTCTCTTGTGACCGGTGTGTGCTCAGCTCCCTGGCCTGAGCAAATAGCCCCTCACACCTGCACATTGTTGACTCGGTGTGGACACACAGCTACTTGTTTGCAGGTGCAAATGACTGTTTGTGTACCCAGAGTTGAGGGGAGGGCCCCCCACCATCCTACTCTTCAGCCCACGTTCCTTTAGAGCTAGTGGCTGGGCCATAGAATGTGTGACCTTAAAACCCAAGGTTAGGTCCTGGTGGAGGGAGAACTCTAAAAACCTCTCCTTGCCAAATATCCCCCACCTCATTATTAGAGAAGAATCCACTCTTGCCTCTGGTAGTAGGACAAGAATAATCTGAACACCAGGGTAGTTGCATTTAGGGACATAAAATCTGGATGGGATATAAAATATTTTTTTGCAACAGGAAGCAGTATACATGGAGTCAGGGAGACTTCTGAAAGTTTTGAGCCAGGCATTATATAGATCATAGAGAATAAGAAATCTGGCCCAGCCTATCTCACCAGGGCAGCTGAAATGGGCATGAGTGAAATTTCTCAATTCGAAAATTCTATGGACCTGGACAATAAAGATGGTGGGGAGCAGTTGGGTTGGGGGCGGGGATGAGTGAGTCCAGGAGATTGTCGGTGGTGGCAGTGTGCCCATGGAAGTGTGTGTGACTCTAAGTCACGGTTGCTTAATATATGGACCTTTATTTTAGGTACCAATAAGCAGGAAAAGTGTCAAACTATGAAACAGCATATCATACAGATATATTGAAATGACAAAAATGAACGAAAATTAATTTCAGCTTTTTGCAGGGTACTTTGAAAATTTCAAAGACTTTTAAAAACTGTAGTTCCTTTGGTTCAGTAATTCTCCTAGAAGAGCATCCTAAGGAATAAGCAGAAATGCTAAGATTTGCACACAAAACGAGCAGTGTTTACAAAACAAAAATCAGAAACTGCGTAGAGATTAAGTAAAAGTTTAACGATAATAAAGGGTGGCCCATTTATATGATGGGATAACATATTAGGCTAAAATGAGTTTATGAAGAATTTCTGAGGTGGAAAAATGCCTTGGCATTACATGAAAAAAAAAAAAGGCTTCAAATGTTATAGCTTGACCTGCACTGAGCAAAAATATGTGTCACCATATAAAGTACTGGAAAGGACATCATGGAACAAAATGTTAATAACGCTGGTGATCTTGGAGTCACAGGATTACATATGACTTTGTATTTTCTTTACACATTTTCTCTTTTGTTTTTTTTTTTAAGATTTTATTTATTTATTTGAGAGAGACAGATAGAGCATGAATGAGGAGGAGAGGGAGAAGCAGGCTCCTCACTGAGCAGGGAGGGAGCCCATCCCTGCAGGGCTCGATCCCAGGACCCAGGGATCATGACCTGTGAGCCAAAGAGACGCTCAATCAACAGAGCCACCCAGGCACCCCCCCACACACACATTTTATTTTCTAATTTTCCTAGAGTAAATCTCTCTCTCTCTCTCTCTCTCTTTTTTTTTTTTTTTTTTTTTTGGTTTTTGTATTTTTATTGAAAGGGGAAGGGAATATCAATATTGAAGGGCAAAAAGAGAGAAAGAAGTTTTGGGCAGAAGTCAGTTTTGGTTGAGAACCTCAGGGTTACCGGCTCTGAAGGAGAGAGAGGGCCTAAAATCCAGGCTGCTGGTAGTTGCTGCACAACTTTCACTCTTCTCGTGATCTGGGAGAGCCTTACTATGTCTGGGGTACCCAAGACTAAGAATGTCCACTTCCCCTGACGATCATGTGAGCCGAGCCTCCAGGGGTTGAGGTCAGCATCAGGAAAAGGGAGGCAGCCCCTGGTGATCCATCTTGTACTCCTTGCAAGGAAAAGGTGTTATTTCCTTGGCCTCTGGATTCTCTGATGTAAGATTTCTAGGCACAAAGAATTAATCCTCTGTATTATTTTCTGCCCAGTAGATATGTTTGATGACTTCTCAGAAGGTAGAGAATGTGTCAACTGTGGGGCCATGTCCACCCCGCTCTGGAGGCGTGATGGGACAGGGCACTACCTGTGCAATGCCTGCGGCCTCTACCACAAGATGAATGGCATCAACCGGCCCCTTATCAAGCCTCAGCGCCGGCTGGTAAGCAAGTACCCTGACTGCTCAAGCCTACCCTTCTCTCCTTCTTTCAGCATCTGGCTTCGGGGCTTGTGCTCTGGTGGGAAGTTTCCGAGTTTTGAATTTTGGATTTTAAGTCATCTTTAAAAAAAAAAAAAAAGATTTTATTTATTTGAGAGAGAGTAGGAGAGCACAAGTCAAGGGAGAGGGGAGGGACAGAGGGAGAAGCAGATGCACCACTGAGCAGGGAGCTGGATACAAGGCTTCACCCAGAGACTCTGGGATCATGACCTGAGCCATGGGCAGATGCTCAACCAACTGAGACACCCAGGCACCCCCAAGTCATCTTTTAAAAGAAGGTGTGGGTGGAGGGTTTGGGTGGGTGGGTAGCAACACAGTAATTTCTCATAGCTTCAGGGTTACCTTGAGCTATAGGATGTTCCAGACAATCTGTTAACCTCTTCATTATGCAGAAGTGAAAAGTGAGGCTCAGCAAAGCTAACTGCCTTGCCCATGGTCGTCACATGGATACTGAATCTCCTGTCTAGAACCAGAGTCCAGGCTTCCTGGTTCCCAGTCCAGCTTGCCTTGGACATTGCCTGTTTTCACATCAACCCCATGAAGAAGGGAAACTCTTCTTTACCCTGTTTTCAACTGATCAGTTAATAAAACCCAAAGCCCAGTGGGGAGATTAAGCAGTGTGTTGAGCCCTATGGCTGGGAGTTTGTAATGGGGTTTTTGGTTCTTGGCCCTGTGTTCTTTTCTAGTATAATTTAATTTTGACTAAAACAAACTAGCTTTCATGTATACTAGGGAGAGAGGAACAGAGGGATTAAATTCTGATGCTTACCGTTCTTGAGGTCCCAAGGCCCATCCAGCTTTTGATGACACTTGAATACAATGATTCTCCAATGATTCTTGGCTTCAGGTACCTTGTTTGGTACCTGAAGCCTACATTTTTTTTTTCTACTTTGGAAAAAAGCTTTCCTGCCTCCAGGGCCCTTCGTCTAATGAATGACTGATATGCCACCAATGCCAGTTAGGACTAGAATTCACTCTACTTCTCCTGCTGCTGAAATCCTTGTTCTCATTCACCCCCAGGAGTGGCTTAGGTGAAGGGAGACTCAGGCACCTCAGCTGCTCTGAGATTCTTATTCAGAGCTCTTACAGCTTACTTTGTCAACCATTTATGGTGGGCCAGCCCCTTGGAGCTCCCAGTGAAGTAAAAGCTGCAGCACTTGCCTTCTACTTGGACCTGATGGGTCTGTCTTCTCTGTTGCAGTCCGCCTCCCGCCGAGTGGGCCTGTCCTGTGCCAACTGCCAGACCACCACCACCACTCTGTGGCGCCGCAATGCTGAGGGTGAGCCAGTGTGCAATGCCTGTGGCCTCTACATGAAGCTCCATGGTGTAAGTAACCCTTAGCCCCAGGAAGGGAGAGAGCCTCACCTGCCTTCCCATTTACAAATTCAAATTCATTGTTTCTTTCTTCTTTTTTAAAGATTTTATTTGACAGAGAAAAAGAAGAGAGCACAAGCTAGCACACAAGCAGGGGGAGGGCAGGCAGAGGGAGAGGGAGAAGCAGGCTTCCCCCTGAATCCCAGGACCCTGGGATCATGACCTGACCTGAAGGCAGACACTTAACTTAGCCACTCACATGCCCCTCATTGTTTCCTTCTTAGCAAAGATACTTAGATTTGGAAGGGACCTTATAGGCTGTATTAGTCTGTTTGGGCAGTTGTAACAAAATACCACAGACTGAGTAGCTTATAAACAATACTAGTTTATTTTTACATTCTTAGAGGCTGGAAATCCAAGCTCAGGTGCTAGCATGCTTAAATGCTGCTATGGATTTGGGGGAATATTCTCATATGTTATCGATTTTCATGTGAATTACTGCAAGTATTTGTTAGGAACTTAACCTGGCAGTACTTATTAAGGATAAAAAACACATATCTTTTGATTTAGCAGCTCTGCCTTTGGGAAACTAGCCTATAAAACCATAAAAGAATCGGTATGTAATGATGTTTGAACTGTTTATTGCTGCAGTATTTGTAGTGGCAAAAACTAGAAGAAATCATAAAGCCTCATAAAGGAATGGTTGACTAAACTATGGTAATAGTATGATGTGGAATATTGTGCAGAAATTTAAAAAATACTAAGAGCATGTATCTTGACCTGGAGTAGCAAAAAAGCACATTGCAAAGTAATATACATAGTATGACCCCATACTGTGAGGGTGAGGGTGTGTTAAATACGCATACAGATATGGATGGATCGATGGATGGATGAATACACAAGTACATAAATGTATAGATATGTACATGTGCACACAGTTTGAGAATGTTTTAAAATGTGAGAAACATAACAGACTGGTCCTGCAGTTGCCCCATTGATGGCAGTCAGGTGGAAGGGGTGTTACTAACTTAGTCTCATGACTCTTCATATTTCCTTCCTTTTTTTTTTTTTAGTTTTTAATATTTCAGTGTAGTTAACACATGGTGTTGTATTAGTTTCAGATATACAATACAGTGATTAAGCAATTCTCTTTTTTAAATTTATTTGAGGGGGATGGAGGAGCAAAGGGAGAGGGAGAGAGAGTCTTAAGCAGACTCCATGCTGAGTGCGAAGCCTGACGCAGGGCTCGATCTCATGACCCTGAGATCATGGCTGAGCTGAAACCAAGAGTCAGACTCAGTGGGCTGAGCCACCCAGGTGCCCTAGTGATTCAAAGGTTCTGTAGATTATTCAGTGTTCACCATGAGAAATGTACCATGTTTTCTTGTTATAGACAGAAAAGCAGCCAAAAAATATAGTTATGAACATTCATAAGAAAATACACTTCTTTCTGCAAAAAAAAGTGTATCAAGGATGTTGGTGAATCACTGTAATTAGAAAATGGAGGGAAAAAAAACCTTCAGTAGGAAAATGGTTAAAGAAACTCTTGTTCTTCAATAGGGTAATGATGGAAGAAACCAAGAAAGGAATATTAAGCAGGTATTAAAAAAATGATGTTCTCAGGACGCCTGGGTGGCTCAGTGGTTGAGCATCTGCCTTTGGCTTGGAGTGTGCATCCGGGATCAAGTCCCACATCAGGCTCCTTGTGGGGAGCCTGCTTTTCCCTCTGCCTCTCTCTCTCTGTGTCTCTCATGAATAATAAGTAAAATCTTTTTTAAAATAATAAAAATTAAAAATAAAAAGATTGTGTTCTCAAAAAATTAAAAAATAGAATTAGCATAAGATCCCCACAATCCTACTTCTGGGTGTAGTTCCAAAAATGATTGAAAGCAGAGGCTTGAACAGATATTTGTGTCCTTATGTCCACAGCTGCATTATTCACAACAGCCTAAGGTGAAAGCAACCCAAGTGCCGATGGTTGAGTAAGCAAAATGTGGTCTGTCCATGCAATGGACTACTACTCAGCCTTTAAAGGCAAGTAAATTCTGACACATAGTACCAGATAGATAAACCTTGAAGTCATTATGCTAAGTGAAAGAAGTCAATCACAAAAGGACAAGTCTCAAATGATTCTACTTATAGGAGGCCCCTAGACTAATCAAACCCATAGAGACAGAAAGAATGGTGGCTGCCAAGGGCTGGAGGAGGGGGAAATGGAGAGTTAGTATTAATGGGTACAGAGTTTCAATTTTGCAAGATGAGAAGTGTTCTGGAGACAATGGTGGTGGTGGTTGCACAAAAATGTGAATATAGTTAACACTGCAAAGGATTAAGATGGCAAATTTAATGTATATTTTACCAAAATTTTTAGTTTTATTTTTTAATTAATTTTTTAAAAGATTTCATTGATTTATTTGAGAAAGAGCACAAAGGGTGGGGGAGAAGGAGAAGTAGGCTCTTGTAGGCTCTTCACTGAGCAGGAAGCCTGTTGTGGGACTCAATCCCAGGACCCTGAGATCATGACCTGAGCTGAAGGCAGATGCTTAACTGACTAAGTGCCCCCAGGTGCCCCTACCATGATTATTTTAGTACTGAGGTTGGTAGGGATAAACATGAGGGCTGTATTCTTATGAGGTCAGGATGGGCTTCAGGTGGGTCATAGTCAGAGTCGGAGGTTGGACCAAGGAGTGGAAACTTACCTACAAAGGTGGGAACGCTGTTGGATCTGACTCTCAGCAGACCAGAAGGCAGGTTCGAGTTCAGCTGATCTGCTGCACTTCTCTCTTAACCATTGCATGTTTAATTCTCTGGAGTGGTTACTACTTTTCCTTCAGTGTTTCGGGTTTTGCCTCTATTAGGCCCATACAGGAGACAAAAGATTTGGTTGGTCTGGGCTAAGAGAAACCAGATGTGGTGGAAAAGGCACAATATTTAAAAGATACTAGAAAGATGACCCGGCAAGCCTACTCCCCAGACAGTTGTCTAGGCACCTGGGAATGGTTCAAGAGCGTGACACCTGAGAGTCACTGCTTATTTATGAGACATCAGTATGATTAAAGTGTTGTCCGTGGACAGTGTATGTCAGGACCTGGCCATAGGGCAGTCTCCCCAACATGATCTCTTATTGGTCCCCACCACCTGTGGAAAGACCACAATTGGCTCTAACCAGAGTTGGAGCAGTGCAAAGCTCCTCTAAGTAAAGTGACTTGACATCTCAGTTCACTGGGACTGTCCCAGTTAATGCCTATTTTCTTGGCATATTTATTAATAGCACTCCTTTTCCATTTTTATAGTGTCCTTATTTTGCTAAACTAAAGGCTTTTGCAAATATTGTTCCTGCTGCCTGGAATGCCTGCCCCTTGTCTACTTGACAACCTCCCACGACTTAGGCATCACCTCCTGAGCGAAGCCTTCCTTGATATGGTCATGTGCCACTTCCCCTCCCACCCAGTCCAGGACAGAGTTTAGTGGTTCTTCTCCATTCTCCCACATCACTTATGAGTCTGGTTGTTTCCTGCTTGTCTGTCTTTCCCAGTCGAATGTGAAACTCTGGAGGGAAGGAACAGTGTCTTTAAGTCTCCATTTCTCCAGGGTGAGTGTAACACACAGCATGTGGTATAGGAGCTCAATACATATTTGATTTCTTTCTCAGCAGGAGTTCCAGGGGCTGATTCAGTCCCAGCCCCAAGGTGTGTAGAGGAAGTGCTTAGATGTTTCCTTCACATAGTGTGTGTGCATATTTAAATACTGTAGCAGATTATGTACAAGGTAGAAAACCATATATTTTGACTTTTAACCCTCTAGGTTCCAAGGCCTCTTGCAATGCGGAAAGAGGGGATTCAAACCAGAAAACGGAAGCCCAAGAACCTTAATAAATCTAAGACACCAGCAGGTGAGGAAAAGAATTGTGTGTAATTATCTAAATAACTCAGTGGCCCTTGGAGTATGTGAAAATCATGTATTCTTCATTAGGTGGGCCAGCCCAGGCTACTGAGGTCTGATAGCATTGTCCAACCCCAGGTATTCAGGACAGAATGAAAACCCGGTGAAAAGTAACACCATCATACAACATTTTAGGCACTTTTGAAGCAGGTGCAATTCAAGTTGCATGATTACTGCCAGTTGCAAAGGTGGTAGTAGGCCAGCTGGATGGGTTGAGGGCCAGAAAGATAAAGGAACACTATCGTCCCTCCATCTCAAGAGCTCAGTTCCTTTCTGTTCTCCCTGAGATAACTGGGATCTAGGAGGACAGGATCCCCATTAGTCTTGTTCACAACAGCTTGATTTGTAAGCCAATGTACAGTTAACATCATGTATTTTTTTAACATCATTTTATTAAAATTTTTAAAGAGTTTATCTATTTGACAGAGAGAGTGCACTCGCATGTGTGAGCACAAGTTGGTTCAGAGAGGGAGGGAGAAGCAGGCTCTCCACTGAGCAGGGAGCCTGATATGGGGATAGATCCCAGGACTCTGGGATCATGACCTGAGCCATAGGCAGACAGACGCTTAACCAACTGAGCTCCCCAGGCACCCTAGTACTTAACATTTTAGAAAGTTGCTTTTCAATTAGTATCTCGTTGGTCCTTAAAGATCCCCATGCAATCCATTATCCCCATTTTACTACTGAGGAAACTGAGGCTCAGAGAGGTTAATGATTCAGAATGGTTAGACCTGGAATTAAAACCCAAGTTTTTACACTTCAGATCCATATTTTGTCCCATATGCTACTTTGCCTTCTCAGTTTCTAGATTAAGAATGAGGATGACTCGTGCTCCTGTATCAAGAGCACTCCCCCCTTGATACTGTTACCAAATTAAAAATTTCATGGGGGAAATGCTGCCATTGCAGAGAAAGTAAATCAGCTGATCCAGTGGAAAGCTTATCTTTTAATCTAAGGCATGACAAACAGATACATTTCCCCTTTCCACTCCTGAGAACACGAGCAAGGTTCTCCTTTCCCAGATTCAACAACGGTTTACCCCTTTTGGCAGCATGTTTCATTAAAATTGTCCATGTCTCACACCAGTGGTCCTCAGCCTTTCTGCCTGTGCCCACACTGTTTTCTAAGCACAGCACATTCCCCTAGGTAACTTCGTCTCCTTACATGTTGCAGTGACAGGGTGAGCAAGCATTTGTTCAGGTGAACAGTCCCCTCTCCACAATTCCAAATGCAGGGAGCTATATTTGGCAGCAAAACCTAATCTAAACAGACTCAGGCTATTTATAGTCTTTATTTTTCCCATGTGTGGAGATTCACATGTTTAGCTGTACAACAATTAATGTATTTAATTATGGGGTGTCGTCTCAGACTCCATTGGAAGTGTTCTATAATATACAGTATTAAAATCTAAAAGCTTTTGAATCCAGAAACACGTGTGGTCTCAAGGGTTTGGAATAAGGGGTGGCAAGCCTGTCAATAGAAGGAGTTCCCTTGAAATTCTGGTATTTTAATTTTCCCATTTTGAGAACCACCGCCCAGCACTGATGAAGGACCCTGCTTCACTCCCCAGCAAATATAAATAAAGTCATTAGCATAGACCTACCCTGGCTGTCTCAAAGGACTGCCATCCATTTGCCCCTGCCCCTAGTCTGGGTGTCCTGACTCTGCCTTGTTCCAGGTCCCTCAGGCGGTGAGAGCCTTCCTCCTGCCAGCAGTGCTTCCAGCAACTCCAGCAACGCGGCCACCAGCAGCAGTGAAGAGATGCGCCCCATCAAGACAGAGCCCGGGCTGTCATCCCACTATGGGCACAGCAGCTCCATGTCCCAGGTATATCCCCTTGGCGGGGACATAGGACTGCCTGGGGGACTAGGGTACACTGCCAAGGAGCGAGTGACAGGCTCAGCATGGGAAAAGAGCTTCAGCTGGGCCCCAGCAGGTGGCAGGAGGAGCTGCTGGTACCCTTGGGGTCCTGCCTGAAATTGGGGACTGTACCCAATGAGGGCCTGCTTCAGAACATCTGATCAAGTCACAATGATTTGGGCATGCAACTAGGACACACAAATGTTGAGTAGCTCCTCCATGCCAGGACCTTTGGACAGAAGGAGTGGGGAGGGACGTGTTATGACATAGCCACAAGCTGAATCAAACTGTGTGCACTGGGGGAGGGTGGTACAGCTGGAGCAGGCTGCAGAAGGTGGCACGTGGGCTTTCTAGGCAAGTCTGCCTCCCAAGTGAGAGGTGGTTTGACCTTGGCTTTGAAGGATAGATAGATTTCAACAGGAGGAAGGGAAGGAAGAAGACCCTCCTGGCTGGGGAAAAGGTGTGAAAACTGTAGAGGGTAGAGTGGGTAGGTGCAGTGGGGTGGTAAGGAGGTCACAGGCAAGGTGCCATTTAATGAGGGTCAGCTACAGGTCTGGCTTCCATCATGTGTCCAGAAGATGGGTCAGCAGTACCGTCCTTTGCCTCTTCCAAATATGATGGCATTCCTACTCCCCTACCCCTTCCCTCTTTGGCTCCCATATTTGGGATTAGGATAGTCCCAAGGTTGGTTACTGTTTCCAGTTAATTCTGATCTGTTCTCCCACATGTGCTTGAGGGAGGCTGTATCCTAAAGAGCTTTTTTTTTTTTTTCAAAGATTTTATGTATTTATTTGAGATAGAGAAAGAGTATGTGAGAGAGAGCAGGAGCCAGGGGGCAGAGGCAGAGGGAGAAGCAGGCTCCCCACTGAGTAGGGAGCCCAGTGCAGGGCTCCATCTCAGGACCCCGGGATCATGACCTGAGCCAAAGGCAGATGCCTAACCAACTGAGCCATCCTGGTGCCTCCATAAAGGGCTTTTTACTGTCAGGGTAAAGAAGCTGGTCCCATAAAGCCAGGAGAGCTGGCTGGGCATGGAGATCTGGCAGTGATAAGATCATAGCAAATGTCTCATGTAGCCATCAGAGCCTTCTGAGAAACCAGAATATCCACACACCTATGGGGTCCCAGTGCTCAGAGAAGCAAATGAATCCCACAGACCCTTTACATCCCACAGCACAGAGGTTAGGAAAAACACTTCTCTGTGTTGCTTGGTGTCTTAACCCTGCTTTGTCCTCAAGCCCCCTCCTCTCCTCCCTTTCCTGGGGGTGGGAGCCAGCTCGGGACACCTGTGTAATGGTGATCCCCTCTCCAGCCCAGACCTCCATCCTGAGCCCTCAGGAGTGATTCCCTTGAGCTCATCTTGTGCTTTTTGCTTTCAGACATTCTCAGTCAGTGCGATGTCTGGCCACGGGCCCTCCATCCACCCAGTCCTCTCGGCCCTGAAGCTCTCCCCACAAGGCTACACATCTTCTGTCAGCCAGTCGCCACAGGCCAGCTCCAAGCAGGACCCTTGGAACAGCCTGGCCTTGGCTGACAGTCACGGGGACATAATCACTGCATAATGTCACCTCCTTCCCTCCTCAGATTCCTGCACGGACTTGGGACTTGGAGGACGGCAGGGATGAGGCTCTGGGCTCCCGGGAGCCAGCCTGCTCTGTCGGGGAATGACTCCAGAAGAACAACTGGGAAGAAACTTGAAGTTGACAGTTCGGTTAGGGGATGTGGGTGTTGGATTTTACCGGATGCCTTTGCAAGGGTGGGCTACTGGAAAGAGCCCAAACTCTGATCTGAAAGAAACCACCCTTCACGAGGAGCACATTTAAGTCCCTTACGCAAGAAGGAGACTTGTTTCTAGTTTTCCACCTCACCCCTCCCCCACAAGACACAGCCGTCCTTCTGCCCTACCTTTCTACCACTGGGGCCTAAGGGACTGGTTTTTCTGTGGTGTTCCCCGCACTGGGGATCAGAGGGTGGGTGGAGGGGGCAAGGTGCTGGGACCCCCAGTCCAGCCTGAACCAGGACATCTGTGTGACATGCATGTGGATGCAAACAGCCCCTCCGGGCCGCTGCTGCCCCGTCCAGCACTCCCCCTTCAGGCTTGGTACCCCCTTGCATTCCTCAGTACTGAATCTTGACTCCGGAAACGTTGGGTGTAGCCCTGATGTTCCTGAAGCCTCACGGGGAGGTGAAGGAAAGGGCCGCCTCACCCACTGCACGGTGTGGCAAAATCATGACCTGGCAACTTTGCCTCTCCCAAGTTTCTTTCCCCGGGCTCATGGCTCGAACCTCCAGCCCCTTCTGACCCTGCCCCCCCCCCCCCCCAGGCATCTGAAAATAAAAATCCCTGCTGCTGATGAGTGATTCAGCCCTGCCTTCAGCTGAACATGTCTCTCCCTCTGCAAAACAAGAGCTCGGCAGTTGAGCCACACAGCAGCCTCCCCCACAACTGTCCCCCCAAATCCTTCGTGTACCCCATCACACACAGGCGGGTCCCAAGGAAGTACAAAAAAGATTCTGCTGCTAAAGCAAGCTTGACAGACACTCTTCTAAGCCTTGAGATCATTCAGGAGAGCATGTCTGGTGGACCTCATCCCCGGGGCCGGGCAGGGGCTTTTCATGGATTCTGGCTCGCTTGCGCTTGGACCTCGTGGACGTGGCTTTTGGTCTGTGGAGATGCACCACCTCTCGGTCCTCCAGCAGGTTGAGGTCATCCCAGGGGTGGGGAGCACCTGCACCTGCATCTTTTCCCCAGTCTCTTGTCCCGGAGGCAGAGAGCTAGAGATCCTGCAACATAAATTCAAAGCAAACAAACACAACAAAACCAAACTCAGATGGAAAGACGACAACTCCTAAGAGAAGACACTGAGGGGGGCCCCTAAGGGAGTCCCTGGCTCTGTGCTATTCTGGAATCGGCCTTCTCTCCATGCTGTCATCTCTGCCCGTGATGTGGGGGCTCACCGAGACTCCTCCTTCCTGGTCCTCATCATCAACAGACCTATAGCTGACTGTGGCCCTACTACATCCTCCCCCACCCAGATACTCAGCTCCCGATCCCCAAATCCTACTGGCTGTAGCAGAGAATATTTTTAAACCAAGATTCTGTTTTAATCATCATTTACATTGCTTTCTTCCATGAAGGCCACCCTCATATACCTTCCCTAACCCACAAACCTGTTAACATTGTCTTAAGGTGAAATGGCTGTAAAATCAGTATTTAACTAATAAATTTATCCGTACTCCTCTTTTCCTTCTCCTCCCTCAGAGGTCATTATTGGGAGGTTTGATGCTGCCCTTGCAAGGCTGTCTTAGCCATGGAAGCCCCTTTGCCGATCTGCTCACAGGCTGCATAAAATCGTTTTCTCCCTTCAGTCATTTATGAGTTGGCCAAAACTCCCTCTGTATGTGATGGTGGCTAGTGAAAAGAACACTTATCCTGGCCCCGCTACTGAGTAGTTTGCGACCTTGACAGGTAACCTCTCGACCTTTGTTTCCTAAGAGAGGGTTGGGTCAGCTGTTAACTAAAGTTCCTGTGGCTCAACAGTTGTTGCCTACTGAAGGGGCATTTCTAGAGCTTCCTTCAAGGCCAGCAGGGGCTGGGGCATGAGGCAGATCACAGGGCAGTGGTCTGTCCAGCCCACCTGGTTTATTTTTTATTTTATTTTATTTTATTTTATTTTATTTTATCTTATCATTTTATTTTATTTTATTTTATTTTATTTTATTTTATTTTATTTTATTTTATTTTATTTTATTTTATTTTATTTTATTTATTTATTTATTTATTTATTTATTTATTTATTTATTTATTTATTTATTTTGCCCCCCTGGTTTAAAATGTGTACTGGTTTAAGATCACCCTGACTTGTTCTTGCCGTCTTCCACTTCTCCCTTATGGTTTGATCCAAACAAGCTTCTAGATAGGAGATGAACACTTCTCCTTTATCTGTTTGTCTTCACCTGCTTATGCTACAGAATTGCTTAATTGCTCCATTTTAAAAGTGGGGTAGGAGTGGGGACAGTGGTTCTGAGTCCACCCTCTGACTCAGTACCTGTGGGATGGGACCCAGACAAGCAAACCTGCTCCCATTCAGAACTGTTCACCGTGGCTTCCTGCTGTTCTCAATTGGCTTTTGCCAAACCCACAGGCAACTGGTGCCCTTTGAGCTTTCACAGCACTCCTATTATTTCTGGACACATAAGGAAAAACCCTATGGCAACCATAATTTTATGTAAAATCAGAAAAGCTTTTAGATTTGCTAAGAAATAGTTAAACCTACTAAATGAAGCTACCATCCTGAAGGACACGTAGCAGATAACTAACAACTACAAGTAACAAAGGAGGTCCAAAAACAAATAAAACCTACCAGGGTTTATGCTGGCTTTGGAAGCACATGTTTTCTGATGATGAAGTCTTTGCCAAAGACATTTGCCACTTCCCTTTAGGAATGGCTTTCAGAACAGAATTACAGGGGATCCCTGGGTGGCGCAGCAGTTTGGCGCCTGCCTTTGGCCCAGGGCGCGATCCTGGAGACCCGGGATCGAGTCCCACGTCGGGCTCCCGGTACATGGAGCCTGCTTCTCCCTCTGCCTGTGTCTCTGCCTCTCTCTCTCTCTGTGACCATCATAAATAAAATTAAAAAAAAAAAAAGAACAGAATTACACCCTCACATCATCCTCATTCCGTATAGTCATGTTGGGCTTCAACCCAGATGGTATAATCAAGCTTGATTCAGCCTCCTTGCACACTGGACTTGGTTGCTTCCCCAAATCACATCCCGTCTCAGAAGGGGACAAGTTGCTATTAAATAGGATATTCTAAAAGATGCAATTCCCAGAGGGTTGGGGAGTGGCCAGTGTCAAAGGATTGTAGGGGGCATAAGCGATGATGGCATCATTAGAATCAAAGTCTGGCCTGATGTAGTGAGTGAAGCAGACAATGTATGTGTCCAAGTTAAGAAATGCTTCACATTCCTTCCGTTTCACTTCTTGCTATGCCAACACCTTTTGAAGCACAGTTTAAATGAAACAGTTGGAGAACATTTTTGAATGCCTTTAGGGAATGAGTTGTAACACATTTAGCTGCAATTATATTTGCCTTGGGATGACAATAGTGAATATACGTTTATATTCACTGAACGTGCACCTAATGAAGCAGGGTATGGGTTATTTGGTTGAACCTCCCACCCCTCCAGCCTCCAGAGCTTGACGCGCTTGAACTGCCTGCATGAGAAATATCCATTTGGAAAGCTGCTTTTGGAGTGGAGGTGATTGTTTTTTGGCTTTTTAATCCTTTTCTGACATTGGGGGCTACTCCTTAGGTCACATCCTTGCCTTGCTCCAAAATGCCATCTCCTGTAACAACACAAATATGTGTCATCCCATAACCAAGGACCAACCTCAGAGTTTCAAAGTTTAGCCTGGGAAGTGGAACCTGAACTCTCAAGGTCTCTCTGCCCTTGGACACTTCTCTCATTTCAGCCATGGAGGCCTCTGCACTGCAGCCTCCTGGGACATGCTGCTATACTAAACCACGCTGGCTCCAGGATGATTTTTCTCTTCCCTCCAGGAGCTGTGGCATGGTGCTTGCAAACAGACTATTCAGTAACAGGGGAGAAATTAATAATCCGAGTGAAGAGGATGTTAGAGCTTGTTTTTCAAAGTCCGGTTTTCTTTAGGTTTGTGGATTGCTTGTTCACTCTTCTGGCTGAAGCTGGGAGGGTGTGGGCTCAATTTTACAGTAGTGATTGACAGTGGTGCTAGGGGTCACCAGGGACAGAGGAGTTCAGAAAAAGCCTTCAAGGCACTCAGAACTCTTGAGCTCAGGCTGTAGAAGTAGTTCCAGCCTCCCGGTTGGGAGGTCAGATAGACACAAAAAGGGAGCTTCTCCTCCCGAGTGAAGGGTGATAAATGAGACCCCTCTGCTTCCACCTCCCCTCCACACAGACAGACACACACACACATGTGCACGCTTCATCCCTTCCTCTCCCCACTCTTTGGTGATTGCCTTCTGTTGTACAGCTATGGTGGCCTTGTTTCACCCAAGAAACCAAGATGTTAAGGCCTCCACCCTGGGTTTACAAAAGGTTTTTAAATAGGGGCATCTGTTGTTCTAATCACTGAGCAGTGGCAGGTTTGAAACAGTGAATCTCTGATTGCAAGGAATTAATTCAGAAGCAGCTCAATAGTTCTAGTAAACAATACTACTAGACCCCTCTTACAATGACTGTAGTCTCTTTTGTGGCCTTTTCTTTAAGATGGATTTGCTCAAATGAAATGAATTCTAATTAGAGATGTAAAAAATTTAGATTTATCATTCCTCTCTTGTTCTTTTCCTTTAGACCTCAAGAAAATAAAAAATTGACAATATCTATTATTTCTAGGGTTCTTGATTATCTGAGATGTTTGAGTTGGGATGGGGGACAGATGTGATAAGAAAAGACTGAAATAACAGAATCTTCAATAGGCATAGGACCAGGCCTCTGCGCTGAACAATGTGTTTTCATCCTGAAGGTGTTGCTGTATTATTCAAAGAATCCCCCAACATTGCTGTAGCAACGTGGGTGGGAAATACTTTCAATCTATTTCCCCCCTGGCTCTGTGACATCCTTGATGGCAGTTTCCTGGTACGGCTCACCTTGCATATTTCCCTAATATGGCTTCCAGCCTTATCACAGCCAAAGTCCCCTGCCATAATTCTCATGTTTGGAAATTGTTTTATTTTTAAAATTATTTAGGCTTTTCCTCATTTTTCTTAGATCAAAATCAGAGCCACATGTAAGTGACACCTCCATTTTAAAAAGAACAAAAATGTAACAACTAATCTCTGCTAACAAGTACTGGATAGTTGATACACTGAGCTGATTGAGTTCCCACCCAAGGCAAAGACATTTAATTTAGTTTGCTTTATGGTCTTGGTATGGCAAGTAGTTGGATGGTTACCTTGGAGATATTTGACCATTTAAAAATGGCTTGTGGGTTCCTATTGAGTGAACTTCTGGGCCCCAGGGGCTCTAGAAGGGGACCAGAGTCCTGTACATGATAGACAAAAAAGTCTACCAGACTGGAAGTCAAAGACGGAATCCGAGATTTAAGAACTGTAGTTCAGATCTGGCTGCTGCCTAGCAGTATGAGTTAGGGCAGTTCATCAAAATGCTCTTCATCTCAGTATCTGTATCTATAAAATGTTTTGGACCTAGGGGATCTTTAAAGTCCCTTTGAGGGATCCCTGGGTGGCGCAGCGGTTTGGCGCCTGCCTTTGGCCCAGGGCGCGATCCTGGAGACCCGGGATCGAGTCCCACGTCAGGCTCCCGGTAGCATGGAGCCTGCTTCTCCCTCTGCCTGTGTCTCTGCCTCTCTCTCTCTCTCTGTATGACTATCATAAATAAATAATAAAAAAAAATTAAAAAAAAAAAATAAAGTCCCTTTGAGTTTTACACAGTCATGATAGCTCCAATAATCTGAAATTGTCCTTGCCAGATCTGGTATCACACAAGGAATACAAGCTATATTATCTTTTGTCATGTTGTGAGGATGGCTGGAAAAAGACACAAAGACATCATTCCCTAGAGACACACTGAATTAGATCTAGCATCCAGGACTTTGGGCCAACAGCTCTGAAATAAGAAAATGGCTCAACTCTCTCAATCTTTTTTTTTTTTTTTTTAAGATTTTATTTGAGAGAAAGAGCACAAGTAGGAGAGGGGCAGAGGGAGAGGGAGAAGTGACTCCCCACCAAGGGGGGAGCATGACAGGGGGCTCCATCCAGGACCTTGAGATCATGACCGGAGCCAAAAGCAGACGTTTAATTTACTGTGCCACCTATGTGCCCCACCTCTCTTTCAATCTTACATACTTTTCTTGGTATGGCTCCCAATATTTGGAAATGCTCCTTCTGGAGACTCCAGATTGATGTTCTTTAAATGGAAAACTGTGCCCTTTTTTGGTGACCTAAAAAATGAGCTTTAAAAATGTTTCAGAAGCTATACATTCAATATTGTCTCACAAAATAGCCACCTTGGAGACTACTTATTCTAATGTTGCAGCCACTGCAAAAACATATGTTGGAACTCCCTTTAGATGCCATCCAGAACCTGCTTATGTCAACCTAAGAGAAGCAGGCGTATTGCTTCTTTAGTTTGGGGCCCCAAGTAGAATTACATCACCTGACCAATATTTGTCACCAGTCCTTTCTAAATGCCCCTTATAAGGGTAGGAATTT